TCGGAATGCTGTTCTCAGGTTTGCCAGGCGCCCATATGCTGCAGCAGTTATCTGGTTGATGTGTGCTTCCGGAGACATGCTCGGTGTTATACTCACCCCAAGATCTTTCTCCTTGAGTGAGGTTTGCAGTCTTTGGCCACCTAGCCTATACTCGGTCTGTGGTCTTCTGTGCCCTTCCCCTATCTTCATGACTTGTGTGTGTGTGTGTGTGTGTGTTTGTGTGTGTGTATGTGTGTGTTTATACATGAATACAGCTATAAAGACAGCATGTATACTCACAACAGCTAAAGTATACTCACAGGTAAACAAGAGAGACGGTAATGAAGAACGCGATGAAAAACAGAACGCCAAACGAGATCGCCATCTCTCGCTCTGCCCTGGCTGGTGGACACAGTGGAAAATATTAGTGGTTGAAGGTACAGGCCTCCAACACTCCTTGCTCTGATTATCCAACACCAGTTTAGCGCTTCATATAAATATATTAATCGTCATATTGATCAAGAAACTATGCGTAGTTTGATACATATAGAATTCTGTATCTCAGGAAAGATAAGTATGATTGAAAGTATGCATCCAAAAAGGATGTAAGTGAGAGTATCTTACCTTGTCTCATTGACACGGACTTCAGCCTGAAAAGAAAATGTTCAGGGGGATTCATTAAACATTTATGAAGCTTTTATAAACATCACAATTACTCTCAAGACTAACCTTACAGAGAAGTCCTTCATAATCTTTCTTTAGCATTACTCAAACAGCAATGGTGTAAATAGATAAGCATATTGTTAGACGGAGGATCGAGCCTTCACTTCTTGCACTGAGTCTCCTACACAGAGTTAGTAATAATAAATATTTGTAATAAACGTGTCACAAAATCAAGGTAAGTCGCTATGAACGACTGTCAGTGAATACAGAGTTAGCAACATTGGTTCTGGTACACGTGAGGACCGCGGTTCGAGTCCTCGTCCATTCTTTTCTTCATTAATTTTACATATTAATTAAAGAACTGAAGATCATTTGATCTGTAAATATAACAATACCGACATGCAGATCAGTAAGTCGCCTTTGTAGTATTTGGGCATCGTTATAATAATAATCTTCATTTCTAGAAGAACAAGGTATGCAGGCCTAGCTGACATCAACGACATACTACTATATAGAAAACCTCATTTTATGCTGGCATTTCAGAAAAATTTGGGGTAAAATTTTGCCCCCCCGGGGATGCACCCCAACACCAGTCGACAAAACACCCATGTCCCTTTTTTTATTGACAGGAAAACTTTGGGGCCCCGGGTGTTTTAAGGAATATATGCCCCCCATACCGGGGATCAAAACCATAGACCTCAGTGGTGTTTGAGTCGCTACCCAATGGCTACGGGACCCCCTTTGGGGTTAAAAAGGGTTTTGTTTAAATGTTTTTAAGGCTGTTTTTTGTGGGCCCTTTAAAAAGGGGGGGGAGGGGTTTTCCTTATGTTGGTAAAAAAATTCTTGATTTGAAAAATTTGGGGAATCCCCTTCCTATTAGGGGGGGGCCAGACCCGATTACCCCTTATTCCCTGTATTTAAATAAATGATGAAAAAAATAAAAACAAAAATTAAAAAATTTTTTTTAATAATAATGAAAAAAATTTTATTTATACGTGCAAGAGAATATTCAAACAAAGGCCCAACAAAACCCTTCCCATTTCCCTCTGTTTTTAGAGGGAAAAGGGGGGGTACAGACATTTTAAACTTTTTAATTTCCCACTTCACCTTTCAGAGTGCGGATACTGTCTTCACCCCAAAAATTTAAAAGGTTGGGGGATACCGTAGTTTAAGGAACAAAATTTTGGGATCCTCCCCCAAAAATTTAAATTTCATTCCAGTAAAATTTATACATACCTGACGACCTCTTGTCCTAATTTTCCTGCTCCCCCTTTGGTTTACCCCTGCAGTTAAATATATCCATTACTTTGCTGTGAGCCACATTTAAGGAAAGGACCTGGGAACCCTTTAAGGGAAAAAACCCACTTTGTTTGGGGTTTTTTGGGGTTTAAACCCTGGGTTATTAATTCCCTGAAGATTACGCCAAATTTTTTAAGAGTACGGGGCGCAAAAGATTGACAAAACCTTTAAATTTTTTCCCTGGACCCCTGTGTTGGATACGGTCAGCTCAACCGGGGAAATAAGTATTTTTTTCTGACTATTGTTTTTTTTTTGGAGGGGGGGGGGTTTTTTCCTGGGTTTAAATTTTAAACTCAATGTTAAAAAATATGAAACTATACTAAAGGGGAACATGTATAAATAAACTTTTTTCCCCAATCAGTTGAGGTTTACTAAGAAAATTAGGGCCCTTCAGAGGGGCCCCCCAGTGTTAAACTCCTTAAAGTTAAATTTAGTAACAGGAACACATATTTTCAGCTGAAAAAATTTTTTCCATACATAGTAACATATGTGAAAATTTCCTGGGAAAAAACCCCCAAAAAAAAAAGTCAAAACAAAAGCGACTTTTTTCCACTGGTGT